AAAAAAAAGAATCATTTTCGCGAAATTTGATTACATTTCCCCTCCATACGTGCAAGAAATGCAATACCGCGTATTTCGTATCACCTTATCCCAGACACCGTTGCGTGTCAAGTGCACGGCACATGCATATTCCAAGCCGCGTGATGCCGTGCACATTGTGTCTCATTATGAAGGGTAAAGTTCTTAAAAATTGAATTCCAATAAAAGAAAATAACCATTTTCGCGAAATTTGATCGTCTTTCCCCTCCATACATGCAAGAAATGCAATACCGCGTATTTCGTATCACCTTATCCCAGACACTGTTGCGTGGCAAGTGCACGGCACATGCATATTCCAAGCCGCGTGATGCCGTGCACATTATGTCTCATTATAATGGGTAAAGTTCTTAGAAATCGAATTTTCAAAAAAGAAAAGAATCATTTTCGCGAAATTTGATTGCCTTTCCCCTCCATACATGCAAGAAATGCAATACCGCGTATGCCGTATCACCTTATCCCAGACACTGTTGCGTGGCAAGTGCCGGCACATGCATATTCCAAGCCGCGTGATGCCGTGCACATTATGTCTCATTATAATGGGTAAAGTTCTTAGAAATTTAATTTTCAAAAAAAAAAAAGAATCATTTTCGCGAAATTTGTTTACATTTCCCCTCCATACGTGCAAGAAATGCAATACCGCGTATGTCGTATCACCTTATCCCAGACACTGTTGCGTGGCAAGGGCACGGATCATGCATATTCCAAGCCGCGTGATGCCGTGCACATTGTGTCTCATTATGATGGGTAAAGTACTTAGAAATTTAATTCCAAAAAAGAAAAGAATCATTTTCCCGAAATTTGATCGCCTTTCCTCTCCATACCTGCAAGAAATGGAATACCGCGTATTTCGTATCACCTTATCCCAGACACTGTTGCGTGGCAAGTGCACGGCACATGCATATTCCAAGCCGCGTGATGCCGTGCACATTGTGTCTCATTATGATGGGTAAAGTTCTTAGAAATTGAATTTTCAAAAAAGAAAATAATCATTTTCGCGAAATTTGATCGCCTTTCCTCTCCATACCTGCAAGAAATGCAATACCGCGTATTTCGTATCACCTTATCCCAGACACTGTTGCGTGGCAAGTGCACGGCACATGCATATTCCAAGCCGCGTGATGCCGTGCACATTGTGTCTCATTATGATGGGTAAAGTTCTTGGAAATTTAATTCCAAAAAAGAAAAGAATCATTTTCCCGAAATTTGATCGCCTTTCCTCTCCATACCTGCAAGAAATGCAATACCGCGTATGTCGTATCAACTTATCCCAGACACTGTTGCGTGGCAAGTGCCGGCACATGCATATTCCAAGCCGCGTGATGCCGTGCACATTGTGTCTCATTATGATGGGTAAAGTTCTTGGAAATTTAATTCCAAAAAAGAAAAGAATCATTTTCGCGAAATTTGATCGCCTTTCCTCACCATACCTGCAAGAAATGCAATACCGCGTATTTCGTATCACCTTATCCCAGACACTGTTGCGTGGCAAGTGCACGGCACATGCATATTCCAAGCCGCGTGATGCCGTGCACATTGTGTCTCATTATGATGGGTAAAGTTCTTGGAAATTTAATTCCAAAAAAGAAAAGAATCATTTTCCCGAAATTTGATCGCCTTTCCTCTCCATACCTGCAAGAAATGCAATACCGCGTATGTCGTATCAACTTATCCCAGACACTGTTGCGTGGCAAGTGCCGGCACATGCATATTCCAAGCCGCGTGATGCCGTGCACATTGTGTCTCATTATGATGGGTAAAGTTCTTGGAAATTGAATTTTCAAAAAAGAAAAGAATCATTTTCGCGAAATTTGATCGCCTTTCCTCTCCATACCTGCAAGAAATGCAATACCGCGTATTTCGTATCACCTTATCCCAGACACTGTTGCGTGGCAAGTGCACGGATCATGCATATTCCAAGCCGCGTGATGCCGTGCACATTGTGTCTCATTATGATGGGTAAAGTTCTTAGAAATTGAATTTTCAAAAAAGAAAAGAATCATTTTCCCGAAATTTGATCGCCTTTCCTCTCCATACCTGCAAGAAATGCAATACCGCGTATGTCGTATCACCTTATCCCAGACACTGTTGCGTGGCAAGGGCACGGATCATGCATATTCCAAGCCGCGTGATGCCGTGCACATTGTGTCTCATTATGATGGGTAAAGTTCTTGGAAATTTAATTCCAAAAAAGAAAAGAATCATTTTCCCGAAATTTGATCGCCTTTCCTCTCCATACCTGCAAGAAATGCAATACCGCGTATGTCGTATCAACTTATCCCAGACACTGTTGCGTGGCAAGTGCCGGCACATGCATATTCCAAGCCGCGTGATGCCGTGCACATTGTGTCTCATTATGATGGGTAAAGTTCTTAGAAATTGAATTTTCAAAAAAGAAAAGAATCATTTTCGCGAAATTTGATCGCCTTTCCTCTCCATACCTGCAAGAAATGCAATACCGCGTATTTCGTATCACCTTATCCCAGACACTGTTGCGTGGCAAGTGCACGGCACATGCATATTCCAAGCCGCGTGATGCCGTGCACATTGTGTCTCATTATGATGGGTAAAGTTCTTGGAAATTTAATTCCAAAAAAGAAAAGAATCATTTTCCCGAAATTTGATCGCCTTTCCTCTCCATACCTGCAAGAAATGCAATACCGCGTATGTCGTATCAACTTATCCCAGACACTGTTGCGTGGCAAGTGCCGGCACATGCATATTCCAAGCCGCGTGATGCCGTGCACATTGTGTCTCATTATGATGGGTAAAGGTCTTGGAAATTTAATTCCAAAAAAGAAAAGAATCATTTTCGCGAAATTTGATCGCCTTTCCTCACCATACCTGCAAGAAATGCAATACCGCGTATTTCGTATCACCTTATCCCAGACACTGTTGCGTGGCAAGTGCACGGCACATGCATATTCCAAGCCGCGTGATGCCGTGCACATTGTGTCTCATTATGATGGGTAAAGTTCTTGGAAATTTAATTCCAAAAAAGAAAAGAATCATTTTCCCGAAATTTGATCGCCTTTCCTCTCCATACCTGCAAGAAATGCAATACCGCGTATGTCGTATCAACTTATCCCAGACACTGTTGCGTGGCAAGTGCCGGCACATGCATATTCCAAGCCGCGTGATGCCGTGCACATTGTGTCTCATTATGATGGGTAAAGTTCTTAGAAATTGAATTTTCAAAAAAGAAAAGAATCATTTTCGCGAAATTTGATCGCCTTTCCTCTCCATACCTGCAAGAAATGCAATACCGCGTATTTCGCAGGGGCGGATTTAGGGGGGGGGCGGGGGGGGCGGCCGCCCCCCCCAAGACAATTCTGAATTTTTTTTTTTTTTTTTTAGTATTTGGTTTTGGTCAAGTAGCGATTATTTGGTCAGCAAACTAGATCTGTGCTACCGACGCAGGACAGTAGATTCGGCCTTCTGTTTTTCCTTGGCAACGTCTTTGTTATTTAATAAAAAAAATGGAGAGACAGGAGTGGACAAGTTTACCAGACGCGAAATGTACCGGCGAAGGGAAAGCGGTGTTTGTTCAAAGTTCAGAACCTAAGATAGCAGCTTTGCGGCGCGGGCTCGTCCAAAGCGTCTCTCCACCCTGTACGAAGGCGGCGGCTTTGGTATCGAGGCTCCCTCCTCCCTCCGTCCCTCTGTAGAGCCATCCTGTGCCGCTGAATTGGCACCACTGGTTGAAAGGCGAAGAGAGGCGGGAAAAGTCCACTATTACCGCAAGACTCGGATAAAGGGGTGGAGGGGAGGTTGTTCGGTGTCGACGCCCAGCCATGTCTCTCGGGTAGCATGGTCATCTCGCTGGCGTCCAGCCTTTCTCACTTCATAGCAAAATATGTGATCGAAGACGACCATCTCCCGAACAATCGGACCTGAAGACGACGATTATCCCCCCACTTTGGAATCCTGCGAATGGGGATGGGAAACATCTCCAAGGTCTTCAATTGGCTGCTGGACGCTCCCTGGATTGTTTCCCCGCAGACAGCCGGCTCCGTTTAATCTCCCCTCCCGCCACCGTGGCGGATAAGAATCGGGAAAGCACGGAACACACATTGTCGCGTTCCGCCGCCTCGGCGCCAGCCGCAGGTAGAAGTCCGAAGGGTTGACACGTGACGTGAGGGAGAGGAGTCCTTGAGCGGCGCTTCCCCGGAAGCGACTGACGCCAGCCAGACTGGCAAGGCCCCGAGCGTTCGGCTAAGCCTGGGCGAAACCTTCCCCCAAAGTGGTCTTAACGACTGGGAAAATGCTTCGATGACCTTCCCACGCACTCACACACACATGGAGGTGGGACGGGTCATAACAAGGTGTTGTTGAGATGGCGATAGCGAGGTCAACAAGAAATACAAAGAGAGCGCGCATACCAAAGCTCAACTGGTTCATTTTCGCTTCCCGTCTTAGGCGACGGGCATTCCCCTCTCCTCGGCTACGTTCTCCCGAAGCGGGAGGAGCGCAGCAAGGCCACGAGGCAGGGCGAGTTCTCTCGAGCGGTCAGCAACGTAGGTCACCACATTGTACACGCGTGCGTGTGTGGGCTCTGAGTGATGCGCCGCCGGGCCTGAGCGAAGGTAACTCGGGAACGCCAGCGCTCACGTTTCACAAGTTAGGAACGGTCGGTCAGGCTACTTTGAAGGGGAGTCAGTTGGGTAGTTTAGAGCGCCGAGAACAGTGCAGCTCCAAGATCCGCGAGGGAAACCAAACGTGGACTTCTTTACCGTGTTGCACCATTCATCCCTTCTCCGTCGCGGATCGCTGTTTTTCAGTGACGATTGACATGGAAGACGTGGTGACGCGCACGTTCGAGCTTAGTGGCGGCGCTTTCGACCTGTCGTTCACACGTTCACTCCTGGGCAAAACAGTGATTCGGCCGGTAGCGAGAAAGTGCTGTTGACCTCCAGAGACAAAGTGAGCCCAAGGCGGATGAAGTAACCGGGAGTCGAGTTCTGCAGCCGCTACAATGGTGAGTTGCACTTTAGGCCGTAAAATGACGTTGCTCTTTCGACAAATCATAACGAGGCATTTTCTGCACTTCGCTCGCGTATGAGGTGGTTGGTAGCCGTGACCCATGCCGGAAAAGTAATTGACATAGGTAGTAAGGAAAAAAAAAAGCTAAATGAAACGTGTGGACTGTTCGTTTCTTTTCCACCATCCGCAGCGACATAACGAAAACGTCGCGCTGCAGACATTAATTGTTTCCTCCTCTTTCTATGCATAAAAATTAGTCATAGACTGTGTGCGGCGTTTCTTTCGGTCGATGGATAATCAAAATATTTATGCGAAATTCGCTCACTAAATCCTTTCGTGGCGTGGAAAGACACTGATGGTTTTAAGAACCCCCAGCCAACCAGCGTTTGGGACTTGGTATGTTATATTGAGCTATTTTTTCTAATAGATTTTCTTTGTATTTGTGTACGCAGCCTTTACTACTTTCACGTTCTATTTACACTTCGGCTTGAGACGCATAAGATCGCACAGCTGATATTGGTAATTAGTGCTGATTCAGTCACTCGTGGTATTTATAAATTACGTCACTTATGAATGAGTTCTATCTGTTTAGTAAAACAAGTTGTTTTTACATAGAGTGAAGATGGTCCACCAAAGTCGTCCAAGCGGAAAAGTACCACTCTGCATAACTTCTTCCAAGCTGTGCCCAAAAAGATTATCACTGAGGCAGACATTGCAAGCAACGACTCGAAGCTCACTTTGAAGTCTGATGGCGTGGATGAACAACTCAAGATTGAGGCTCTCCCGTCGCCCATGGTCAAGAATTCTGACGGAACTACCCCACTAGATCCAGCCGTCCACACAGTTCGGAATCCAGCGGCTGACTTTGGTTTGCAATATGACATTGGCAACTTCGTTGGGGCGAGGCCAGACGACCACACCGTGGTTGGCTTACTCGAACACCATTGGATGCCACCTCAAGGTTACTCCTTCCCTTTCTCCGAACACAACAAGGGACAGACAGTCGAACGGAGGTACGTCAGAAGTGACCACCTGCTGAAATATCCTTGGCTGGTTGTCTCGGATGCCAAGGCAGGTTTGTTCTGCAAATTTTGTCCTCTTTTTGCCACCGGGCACATTGGGGGTAAACACAAGACAGTTGCCCTTCAGGCTCTTGTAACGGAGCCTTTGAAAAAATTCGCGAAGCTTCTGGGGAAAGATGGAGCTTTGGAAACCCATTCCAAAGCTAGATATCACATCGAAGCAGTGGAAGCGGGCAAGGCTTTTCTGAAAGCTTGTCGCGACCCAGCAAGGGTCGTGGCAAACCAGATCGATACACAGCGAATGCGGCAGGTGTCTGAAAACCGCGCGCGGCTTGTCTCGATTGTCGACAACGTTGTGTTCTTGGCCCGGCAGAATATTGCCTTCCGTGGACATCGGGATGACGGCCCAGTGGTCACTGGGAAGAACGGCAATGACAGTTCAGAGAATGGAGGAAACTTCAAGGAGCTGCTGCGCTTCAGAGTGAAATGTGGTGACCATGCCCTCGAAAAACATCTCTCCACAGCCACAGGAAGGAAGATGTTCACAAGCAAAACAACTCAAAATGCCCTTATTGAATGTTGCGGAGACGAAGTTCTGTCCGTGATCTTGGCACGAGTTCGGCAGAGCAAATATTATGGCATTATGTTCGACGATACAACCGACGTGGCTCACAAGTCTCAGCTATCTCTTGTTTTGAGGTATGAACATGATTTAAAGATCAGAGAAGATTTTGTGGGTTTCTTAGATCCTCGAGAACTCCAGCCTCAAGATTCAAATCAGAATCGGAATTCGTCCATGTCGGACAGCGGGTCCGACGAGGAAGAGCAAGACGAAGACGACGCACTGGAGCCAACACTGACTGGTACCAAGCTCGGAAAAATCGTGCTAAGTCTACTGAGGTCATTGTCTCTCAACCCCAAAGGCTGTGTAGGCATTGCAACAGACGGATGCTCAGTAATGACTTCCGAGCTCTGCGGTGCCATTCAGGAAATCCAAAAAGTAGCCGTGCATGCAGTTCGATGCCCCTGCTTCAACCACAGCTTGAACCTTTCTATATCCAAAACATCAACTGTGCAAAGTGTCCGAAACACCACCGGGACAATGCGGGAAGTCATTGCGTTTTTTACGGCCTCGCCCAAGCGTAACGCCGTTTTGAAACTCCAGCTTGGCAAACAGCTGACCAAGTTATGCGACACACGTTGGGTCGAACGTCACGACGCTGTTTTGCAGTTTAGAGAGAGCCTGGGAAGCATCGCAAAGGCGTTGGAAACGGTTTCGCAATGGCGAGAACCAAGCTCGGCTGCCAAGGCAAGATCACTGCTTATCTCAATCCTGGATGCCGAATTTGTAATTGCAACCGTAGCTCTCTACGATGTACTCTCAGTCACGCTTCCCCTAAGTCGGCTGCTCCAAAAGCCGGATCTGGAAATGAACAGTGCCTCGGACATCGTAAAAGACACGATCGTCGTCCTGAGCGAAAAGCGGAACCCATTAAACGTCGAGAAGACTTTCAGAGAAATTTTCGCGCATGCAGAAGAAATTGCCGAGAATATGGGAGCGCAACTAGATGTGCCTCGTCTAGTCCAACGACAAATGAGCTGCGAAAAATTGCCTCCACAGACAGCCGAGTCATACTTCCGCGCACATGTATACATTCCTCTTGTGGAATCTGTCGTGGAAGATCTTAAGCAGCGTTTTCCGGAAGAGGTGCTGGAGGTGTACAGCCTCAACACACTTTTGCCTCGCCATGTGAATGAGAAGGGAGCTGAAGCAAAGCTCAGCATCCTGGCGGCAAAATACGGCGTGCTCCTCGGAATGGGGGACGTAGCTTTGCAGACCATCATCAGAGCCGAATTTTCACTGTGGGCGGCGAAATGGAGACGCGAACAAGAGAAGGGGCCTCTTCCATCGACAGCTGTGGAGACACTTGAAGAGTCGGAGCCAGAGCTCTATCCGAACATCAGGACTCTGCTGCGCGTTCTCGCTACACTGCCCGTTAGTGTTGCGACGGCTGAGCGGTCTTTCTCCACCCTTCGTCGAATTAAAACTTGGATTCGATCGCGGTGCGGCGAAAAGAGACTCAACGGTCTTGCCCTCCTCCACGTCCACCGAGACGTGAACGTCGACCAAGAGAAGGTGGTAGACCGCTACGCGCAGGGAGCACGACGAAGGAAGGCGATGTTCGTGCTCTGAAGATGAAGAACATTTAATTTGATAACTTGTGTAAATAATTATGTCTCTATTTTATCCTCCCCAAATGTAGGTTTTTTTTTTCTTCATCTCATTAGATAAACATGAATCTGTTTAATAAATAAGTTTAATGTTGCTCCATGCAATTTGTCTAGGCACTGCGCTGAAGACCATTTCAGCTGGCATTTTTGTTTTTTTATTGGTTTCACGGATCCACAAGACCATAAAGAATCGAACAGAGTTTAATTACTCCAACAAAATGCTCACTTTTCTCAAGAACTCTGCATTTTCGAGAGTGAGTCAATAAAATAACAATGCAATTAAGAAGGTATTTTGATCACGTTCGTCCAGGATTTAGAAAGTCTCCATATTATTCGGCCGTCTTACATTTGTCTTGCTAACAAATCCTTTCCTCTCCGGTCTTTGTGGTGTTTTTTTTGTTTTGTTTTTTTTTTGTCTAAATTGATGTATCTTGTTTGATCGAGTCCCTGCACAAACTCTTTCACACCGGGTGCCTCAATTGCCCGTGTTGCTTAAATGGTTTAGACAAAGAATTTAGAACCATGCATACGTATGTCTTTCTCTATCTCTATTTTTGTTTTTTACCACTTATAGTGCTAACCTTTGAACCACTGAAGCAACAGGTGCGGGTTTATATAAAAGAACAAGAAACTAATACAAATTTGGTGGGAATTTTTAGGCTGTAACAAACGCTAAAACACGATTAATAGTTGCTTTTTGTAGGTGCCTCAAAAATCGCTAGCCCGCGAGCAAAAAAAAAAAAAAAATCCTCACCGCCCCCCCCAAACCTTAGCCATAAATCCGCCCCTGGTATTTCGTATCACCTTATCCCAGACACTGTTGCGTGGCAAGTGCACGGATCATGCATATTCCAAGCCGCGTGATGCCGTGCACATTGTGTCTCATTATGATGGGTAAAGTTCTTAGAAATTGAATTTTCAAAAAAGAAAAGAATCATTTTCCCGAAATTTGATCGCCTTTCCTCTCCATACCTGCAAGAAATGCAATACCGCGTATGTCGTATCACCTTATCCCAGACACTGTTGCGTGGCAAGGGCACGGATCATGCATATTCCAAGCCGCGTGATGCCGTGCACATTGTGTCTCATTATGATGGGTAAAGTTCTTGGAAATTTAATTCCAAAAAAGAAAAGAATCATTTTCCCGAAATTTGATCGCCTTTCCTCTCCATACCTGCAAGAAATGCAATACCGCGTATGTCGTATCAACTTATCCCAGACACTGTTGCGTGGCAAGTGCCGGCACATGCATATTCCAAGCCGCGTGATGCCGTGCACATTGTGTCTCATTATGATGGGTAAAGTTCTTAGAAATTGAATTTTCAAAAAAGAAAAGAATCATTTTCGCGAAATTTGATCGCCTTTCCTCCATACCTGCAAGAAATGCAATACCGCGTATTTCGTATCACCTTATCCCAGACACTGTTGCGTGGCAAGTGCACGGCACATGCATATTCCAAGCCGCGTGATGCCGTGCACATTGTGCCTCATTATGATGGGTAAAGTTCTTGGAAATTTAATTCCAAAAAAGAAAAGAATCATTTTCCCGAAATTTGATCGCCTTCCCTCTCCATACCTGCAAGAAATGCAATACCGCGTATGTCGTATCAACTTATCCCAGACACTGTTGCGTGGCAAGTGCCGGCACATGCATATTCCAAGCCGCGTGATGCCGTGCACATTGTGTCTCATTATGATGGGTAAAGTTCTTGGAAATTTAATTCCAAAAAAGAAAAGAATCATTTTCGCGAAATTTGATCGCCTTTCCTCACCATACCTGCAAGAAATGCAATACCGCGTATTTCGTATCACCTTATCCCAGACACTGTTGCGTGGCAAGTGCACGGCACATGCATATTCCAAGCCGCGTGATGCCGTGCACATTGTGTCTCATTATGATGGGTAAAGTTCTTGGAAATTTAATTCCAAAAAAGAAAAGAATCATTTTCCCGAAATTTGATCGCCTTTCCTCTCCATACCTGCAAGAAATGCAATACCGCGTATGTCGTATCACCTTATCCCAGACACTGTTGCGTGGCAAGTGCCGGCACATGCATATTCCAAGCCGCGTGATGCCGTGCACATTGTGTCTCATTATGATGGGTAAAGTTCTTGGAAATTTAATTCCAAAAAAGAAAAGAATCATTTTCGCGAAATTTGATCGCCTTTCCTCTCCATACCTGCAAGAAATGCAATACCGCGTATTTCGTATCACCTTATCCCAGACACTGTTGCGTGGCAAGTGCACGGCACATGCATATTCCAAGCCGCGTGATGCCGTGCACATTGTGTCTCATTATGATGGGTAAAGTTCTTGGAAATTTAATTCCAAAAAAGAAAAGAATCATTTTCCCGAAATTTGATCGCCTTTCCTCTCCATACCTGCAAGAAATGCAATACCGCGTATGTCGTATCAACTTATCCCAGACACTGTTGCGTGGCAAGTGCCGGCACATGCATATTCCAAGCCGCGTGATGCCGTGCACATTGTGTCTCATTATGATGGGTAAAGTTCTTAGAAATTGAATTTTCAAAAAAGAAAAGAATCATTTTCGCGAAATTTGATTGCCTTTCCTCTCCATACCTCCAAGAAATGCAATACCGCGTATGTCGTATCACCTTATCCCAGACACTGTTGCGTGGCAAGGGCACGGATCATGCATATTCCAAGCCGCGTGATGCCGTGCACATTGTGTCTCATTATGATGGGTAAAGTTCTTGGAAATTTAATTCCAAAAAAGAAAAGAATCATTTTCGCGAAATTTGATCGCCTTTCCTCTCCATACCTGCAAGAAATGCAATACCGCGTATGTCGTATCACCTTATCCCAGACACTGTTGCGTGGCAAGGGCACGGATCATGCATATTCCAAGCCGCGTGATGCCGTGCACATTGTGTCTCATTATGATGGGTAAAGTTCTTGGAAATTTAATTCCAAAAAAGGAAAGAATCATTTTCCCGAAATTTGATCGCCTTTCCTCTCCATACCTGCAAGAAATGCAATACCGCGTATGTCGTATCACCTTATCCCAGACACTGTTGCGTGGCAAGTGCACGGCACATGCATATTCCAAGCCGCGTGATGCCGTGCACGTTATGTCTCATTATGATGGGTAAAGTTCTTAGAAATCGAATTTTCAAAAAAGAAAAGAATCATTTTCGCGAAATTTGATTGCCTTTCCCCTCCATACGTGCAAGAAATGCAATACCGCGTATGTCGTATCAACTTATCCCAGACACTGTTGCGTGGCAAGTGCCGGCACATGCATATTCCAAGCCGCGTGATGCCGTGCACATTATGTCTCATTATAATGGGTAAAGTTCTTAGAAATTGAATTTTCAAAAAAAAAAGAATCATTTTCGCGAAATTTGATTACATTTCCCCTCCATACGTGCAAGAAATGCAATACCGCGTATGTCGTATCACCTTATCCCAGACACTGTTGCGTGGCAAGTGCCGGCACATGCATATTCCAAGCCGCGTGATGCCGTGCACATTATGTCTCATTATAATAGGTAAAGTTCTTAGAAATTGAATTTTCAAAAAAAAAAAAGAATCATTTTCGCGAAATTTGATTACATTTCCCCTCCATACGTGCAAGAAATGCAATACCGCGTATGTCGTATCACCTTATCCCAGACACTGTTGCGTGGCAAGGGCACGGATCATGCATATTCCAAGCCGCGTGATGCCGTGCACATTGTGTCTCATTATGATGGGTAAAGTTCTTAGAAATTTAATTCCAAAAAAGAAAAGAATCATTTTCCCGAAATTTGATCGCCTTTCCTCTCCATACCTGCAAGAAATGCAATACCGCGTATTTCGTATCACCTTATCCCAGACACTGTTGCGTGGCAAGTGCCGGCACATGCATATTCCAAGCCGCGTGATGCCGAGCACATTATGTCTCATTATGATGGGTAAAGTTCTTAGAAATTGAATTTTCAAAAAAGAAAAGAATCATTTTCGCGAAATTTGATCGCCTTTCCTCTCCATACCTGCAAGAAATGCAATACCGCGTATGTCGTATCACCTTATCCCAGACACTGTTGCGTGGCAAGGGCACGGATCATGCATATTCCAAGCCGCGTGATGCCGTGCACATTATGTCTCATTATAATGGGTTAAGTTCTTAGAAATTGAATTTTCAAAAAAGAAAAGAATCATTTTCGCGAAATTTGATCGCCTTTCCTCTCCATACCTGCAAGAAATGCAATACCGCGTATGTCGTATCACCTTATCCCAGACACTGTTGCGTGGCAAGTGCCGGCACATGCATATTCCAAGCCGCGTGATGGCGTGCACATTATGTCTCATTATAATGCGTAAAGTTCTTAGAAATTGAATTTTCAAAAAAGAAAAGAATCATTTTCGCGAAATTTGATCGCCTTTCCTCTCCATACCTGCAAGAAATGCAATACCGCGTATGTCGTATCACCTTATCCCAGACACTGTTGCGTGGCAAGTGCCGGCACATGCATATTCCAAGCCGCGTGATGCCGTGCACAATATGTCTCATTATAATGGGTAAAGTTCTTAGAAATTGAATTTTCAAAAAAGAAAAGAATCATTTTCGCGAAATTTGATCGCCTTTCCTCTCCATACCTGCAAGAAATGCAAAACCGCGTATGTCGTATCACCTTATCCCAGACACTGTTGCGTGGCAAGTGCCGGCACATGCATATTCCAAGCCGCGTGATGCCGTGCACATTATGTCTCATTATAATGGGTAAAGTTCTTAGAAATTGAATTTTCAAAAAAAAAAAGAATCATTTTCGCGAAATTTGATTACATTTCCCCTCCATACGTGCAAGAAATGCAATACCGCGTATGTCGTATCACCTTATCCCAGACACTGTTGCGTGGCAAGGGCACGGATCATGCATATTCCAAGCCGCGTGATGCCGTGCACATTATGTCTCATTATAATGGGTAAAGTTCTTAGAAATTGAATTTTCAAAAAAGAAAAGAATCATTTTCGCGAAATTTGATCGCCTTTCCTCTCCATACCTGCAAGAAATGCAATACC